TCATGCCATAAATGTATGCATGATATCTCTCACATGCCCAAACGAGAGCGAGGGCTTCCTTTTCGGTCTGGGAGTACTTGCGCTCACACTCTGTCAAGCTGCGGCTTGCATAGCAAATTGGCACCCATGCTTCATTTTGGTTCTGTAGTAACACAGCTCCGAGGCCGACTGGACTGGCATCAGCTATTACTTTGGTTGCTGCGCCTTTGTTAAAATATGCAAGTGTTCCTGCGTCAGCCATGCTCTGTTTCAGAATCTTAAAAGCGGTTTTCTGCTCAGGTCCAAAGTGGAATGGAACAGCCTTTCTGGTCAAGCTCCTTAGTGGCTCAGTGATAGTAGCGAAGTGAGGAATAAACCTGCTGCTATAATTGGCCAATCCCAGGAAGCTTCTTACTTCGCTGACGGTGGCAGGTTCCCTTGTTTCTTGCAAGGCTCTGATTCTTTCTTCTGTTGGGCCTATCCCTTTTCAGAGAGAAGAATTCCCATGAAAATCACTCTGTCCACATTGAATAGGCATTTGTCAGCATTGAGAGTTAAGCCATGCTGCTTGAGGCGTTCCATTGTCTTATATAGGCGTTGGTCATGAGTTGCCTGATCCGGGCCATGTACTATGATGTCGTCAGATATATTATCGACTCCTTCTATTCCAGCTAAAGCTGTGGATATCTCATGTTGGTACTGCTCACTCGCTGAACACACGCCAAATAATAGACGTTTGTACCTGTACAAGCCTTTGTGCGTCACAAAGGTGGTGATCTGTCGTGACTCTGAATTAAGTTCCAATTGGTGGTATCCCCACTTTAAGTCTAACTTGCTAAAGACTTTGGAACCATTCATATTGTGTAGCAGTTCATCTACAGTTGGTATTGGGTATCTGCCACGTACTATGGCCTTGTTCGCTTGTCTCATATCGATGCAGAGGCGTATGTCACCATCTGCCTTTGGTATGATCACTACTGGATTTACCCATGGTGTAGGCCCGTCTACTTCCTCTATAATATCACAATTCAACAACTCTTGAACCTTCTTTTCTACCTTCTCTTGCAGATTGAAAGGAATTCGCCTCAGGGGTTGGGCTACTGGTTTCACTGTTTCGTCTATGTGCAATGTTACTTGCTTGGACTTCAACTTTCCTATCCCACTAAACACTTCAGGGAATTTTTGCTGCAGCGTCTGTTTGCCTTCAGCAATTGTGGCAATGTCAACACCTATTTTCAGCACCCCCAACCTCATTGCGGTGTCTTTGCTTAAGAGTGGTATTCCCTTTCCTTTGATAACCAGGAATTCGGTCTGGACTCTTCCTCTGCCCACTAGTACCTCACATGTGAAGCTACCTTTTACTGGGAGGGGTTTGCTGGATGCATAAGCGTACAATTTTCTGTCAACGGGAGCTGTTTGTGATTTACACTTGATCTTTTTAGCCTTCAGATCTTCCCATGTACATTCATCGATAATGTTATTGGTGGCCCCAGAATCCACCAACATTTCCAATTCTACTCCACCCGCAGACAATTTGAGCATATTTGACTGACCTTTATTGGTGACCCTGAATGCATAATCGACTTGCTCCCCATCGGTTTTTGTTCTTCTTGCACCTGATTGACTCCTGGCTTCTTTGGTTTGGTTTTGCAGACACTAGCAAAGTGACCTTTCTTTTACATTTTTACATGTTTGACCTCTGGCAGGGCATTTCGGATCTCCACCAAGGTGACCACTCCACCCACAACGAGGACACTGACTGTCTCTGTTCTTGCTCTCTTTGTTTCTTTGTTGATCTTTTGGTCTCCTAGGTTTTTCATAGACCCTGTGTGCTTCTGTAGTCTGTTCACTCAAGCTAAGCTGAGACATTTGGTGTTCTACACTTTCACACTGTTCTGCAAGCTCTAATGTGCGTGCGAGAGTAAGTTCATCTCTTTCTTCAAGCAATTTACGTTTGACATAATCTGACCTGCATTTGCATAAAATCGCATCTCTTATCTGATTGTCAAAGTCTGCCCCAAAAATTACAGTCTTTCCCTTCTTTTCTCAGTCGGGTTACAAACTGCAAAACGGTCTCACCTGGCTGTTGTTGGAGTCGGTGAAATTTTTGACGCGCAAAAGCGGAGTTAACTTTGGGGAGAAAATAGCCATTCAGTGCTGTTACAGCGGCGGCGTAGTCCGTTGCTTCGCCGGTGTTCGCGAGTAGAGAAAATTTCTTGCACATCTTGTCCCGCTAAATGGAGTAGCATAGCTCTTCTTCGTTGTCTGGTTGTTGCATTTGTACCTTCAGTGATAATCAGACCTTTGCCATCGGCAAACAATTCAAAAGATGTGAACCATCGCGTCCAACGTGGTCCTAACGTGGTAGGTTCCGAGTGACAATCGAACTTAGGAATCCCATCCTCGTCGCCAATGTTGTATCCTCCTAATGCATATACTATGCCTTGGATTCGTACAGATAAGGTTTACACACTGATCGACCATGTGCTTTCTCTTTTATTACCTACTTCATATATGAGTACATGAAGCCTGTCTGCGCTCAGTACGTCATGTAATACATGACAGAAGCCTTCTAAATCACCTTTATCATTACGCAAATAAAATGTTTTGGTGAAGCATCTCTCTTTAATTTGCATCACCTCTATTTTAACTACCATCTACTCGCTCAAAAATTGTTCAGTTTATGGAAGATCTTCTTGTAATTACAGCCTTAAATCATTCAGGTTCTTTTGGAGAAAATTTCATTAAGTTTAAGGAAAAAAACAAAATTGTTATTCACCAGCCTAGGTCGGTCCGTATTGGGAAAAACTATCCTCAAGACAGAGGGCACAGTTTTTCCCAATACGGAACTCCCGGCTGGCGAGTAACATACATATATTGAAGAGCTGGTTTGCAGAGAAGGCCTCTGCAGACTTGAACTTCCCGCTAAAGTTAACAAAATAGGCACTAAACGAAAACATGACCCTTGGATTTTATCTTGAGATGGGTGCAGCGCGTTTTGTTACAGTATATCGTCCGACTTGCATAGTGCGATATGAAAACAAAAATGTACACACAAACATAGTTGCCAGCTCGAGTTGTAGAAAATACAAGGGACATTTTATATCTAGATAAAAACATGCCTCAGTCGAGGTGATTACAGTAAAGGCGTCACAAAGGGTCTTTTAAAAGCTCAATTTCAGAAAAACACCTACCTTAACCCTCCTAAAGACTCCTGATACTCGACGATTATTGCGACTAAAAGCATAACCCATTGTGTAAAATTAAAGTTTGAAACAAGATAATCCAATTGATGAAGTGAAAAAGGCTACTGGACTCTCGTAAGCAGATCTTGCGTTGAAATCGTACAACTTCATTGTCACGTTTGAGCCCGCTCCTCAGTGGTTCTCAGAGAGATCTGATTGGCTCAAAAGTTGAAATTTGAATTACTAGAACTTTTACTTCGCGCGCATATCATAAAACATGAAAAACGTGTTTGAAACTTGTTTGTCTTTCTTCAGAAGTTGGTTTGTTGAAACATACTTCGGCCAACAACACTTTGGTTCATCATGTCATGAAAACCGTATCAACGAAATCATGTCCTTTGGACCCTATGACAACCTGACCAATCATAGACTATTTCGATCATATTGTACCTGTCAATACAGCGAGTCACTGTTGACTGGTTTGTCTCTCACTTGTATCAGTTAAACACTCCCTCGTACGACCTCTACTTAAACAATCGTATATTCATCAGGATAAAATGAAGAGTTGTAGACCTAGAGTAAATATTTCGTTCCTATCTAATATAATCAAAAAAGTGGTAGTGCTTCAAATATAATCTCATTTTTGAAACTAACAAGTGGTTCCCTTCTCTGCAATCTGCTTATCGCAAAAACCACTCTACTAGGTGTCTACTGAAACGGCACTTTTACGCGTCCCGACGATCCAATATCATTTTTAAAAGGTTTTCCTGATGATGCTAGAATTAATCGGCCGCCTTCATTACTTTAGTTGTCAACATTCTCATACGCAGGCTCAGATGTCATGTTGGTTTCTCTGACATTGTACTCTAACAGGTTTCCTTATCCCTTTGCGGTCGAACGCATTGCATCATTTGTGGAATTTCAATGAGGACGTTATCAATTGGAACATTCAGCATATGCTTTTTCTGTCATCCTAGGAAAGCAGAGGCCACCAGACTTACCTCCTGTTTGTTTAATTCTGAGTCTTACCATTGTTTATTCATAGATAAGAATGACATATAGTAGGACACTTAAGTGTCATATAAGGCGTAGATAGTGGTTTAATTCTGAGCTTATATTTCTTTCTCTTCGAGTGTTTAACTCGATAGCTCACGAGTAAGAGAAGCGAACGAGAGAGATGTCGAGTTGAACACGAGAAGAAAATTTCATATCTACATGCAACCATGTATTACTGTTCTGTTTATCATATAAACACAACATCCCTTTACTGACATGCAAAGTCGACTTAATTATAAATGAAAGTAAAAGGATCGACAATCCCCGAATAAAAATCGTAATTTTCAATATAAAAAATTATCATTTATTGAATTGGTCCTTACTTACAGAAGAAATCTTTCAGGTACACCGCCAAAATCGGTCTGAGAAAAATCTTCCCGTTGTCGATTTTCGTTCTCAGCCGCGAGAAATGCCATTACCAAAGCCGCTGAATACGTAACTTTCGGTTTTAATTTTCCTATGTTGGTTTTCTTCCCCTTCTAGAAAAGTTTGAACGTCAATGTCTGTAAGCGATTCGGATTTTTCAGTGTTTTAGCAGCCATAACCATAATCCGAAAAGGTTCCGACAAGTGACTTTAGATTAAGAATGTTGAAGGCTTTGCCGTTCATTCATCAACCTGACCGAGTGGCGCGAAAGGCGAGTGACATGCCTGCAGCTGATTGGCGATATCTAACAACCGTGAAAAAATATCGTAATTTTTCACGAATGTTGCTACAGCTTTTCTCAGGACTGAAAATTTTTGTATAACACCGTAGTTTATATGATAAAGTATACTACTGCCTGTTCATTAAAGAACTGTTGAAAAGTTGAAGGTACTCCTCTTATCCCTGTTTAACGAGCAAATAAAAAATACAGAAACAAATTTTTAAAATTTTCTCACATAATGAGTTATGTTGAAAGGTGCAACACCGGCGGGACGTGACTACAAGATTGATTTTGTATGTCCTTTTGCATTTTGCGAGGCGAGGACTATTTGCAAAATCACCAGCGGTAAATTTGAGTGAAAAGAATAAGAAAACTATGATAAGTAAGAGAATGGCTTCTTCTGGATGGCGAAAATCGATAAAGGATGTCAGATAACATATCCCGGCCTGCAATGCTAACTAGGAGACAAAAGTTACAACAAATTGACAACAGCCATCATCTCTGATCTACTAGTTTTAAGCACGACAAACATTCTTAACAAGCATAAAAAGGCGAAAGTCACTCACACAAACTGATAAGTACAATGTCGTAAGCAAAAACCCTCACTTCCACTCCTCACTTTCGGTAGGATCAACATTAACATTACTGTAACTTGAGCATAATCTTTTATTACTAACTGTTTTAAGAGAATAGTAAAATGTGCCCATAAGGAATAATTTCTGAGATAAACACTGCTCGTTGTCTCTTTTCCATAAAGATGAAACAGACCTGTACATGGCAGTAGACGCATCGTAAAAGCTGTAGACACCGTCGTAAAGCTGCTTCTCAACCAGGCGGTGTGCCTGTCGACCCCCATGAAATGCGAAGGAGTATTTACATAAAATTAAAAAGTAGACTGCGAACTTACATAGAGCCAGCTGTATTGGAAGTGCAACCTCTACAGAGGACCACATAACGAACACTTGTCTACGAGCGATAAACGTCATTCCCGTTTTACCGAGAGAAATAATGGGACCTTTTTCTATTTATTTTATCTATTAAGTGTGAAGGAAATGTCTCACACAGCTCGACTCCTAAGTAAATATATATATATAAAAAAAGATCTACTTCGACAACAATCGCAAAATTGTGCTTTTCCGCGACAAACTGAAATCAGTCTTCAAGCGATAAAAAAGAAATTTTGGTAAACATCTCCATAAAGAGTTCATGGACGGTGACACTACTCCTCTGAGCTTCTTCTCCTTCATTTGTGGAAAACAAAAATGTGGCCCTTTTTTTTCCCTCGTGGCTTGGCGGAGCTATCTGAATTATTTTTGAACTCTCATGGTGAACAAAAGTAAAGCTAAGAATTTTATATCTTTTAACACTCGCAGTGTTCTGTATCATTCAGCTGGTTCTTCATCGTCATCATCGTCAACCTGAGATTTCTCCGTTAGAATCACATACTCTCTGGTACTGAAGCCGAATTTAAGAACATCCTACAAGAAATAAGAATTACATAATTATTAATATACCACAAGGAAACATTACATTGCAAATGCCGGCTGGGAGGTGCCTCTGGTGAAAACTGTGACCGCGGTCTTGAAAGTGTTACCCGAGGCCACAGGCGTGACCAAGAGAGGAACAGGTTCATTTTTGTAAACAAATTGGAGAATATTGCCTTCCCTAAGAATTAATCAGATTGCAAGTTTAACGTGCCCTCTTTGAAATAAAAGGGGTGTTACAAACATACGCACGTGAAGTGGAAAGCAGAGACAGAAACATGACGATCCTTGCCCAGTATTTTAAACTAGAAAACGAAGCCCTGAGTTTTGAGACTCGGCTTACGTCTCGTCACATATGGAAGCTCGTCTGCAGTTTATTTCTTCGTCCCCGCTTAAATAAAGCCGTTACCTTTTCTTTCAACTCATAGAATCTTCTGGGCTCAATTTTCTGGTTGTTGAGGAATGTTCCATTTGCAGATTCCAGATCAATGATATATGGTCTACAGATGAAAAAGAAACAAACAAAAAAAACACCAAAAACAAAGTAAAAATGACAGAAATTATAATACTGCAAACTGACTGCCAGTGCCTCAATAAGGGCCTAGGAATTTTGCTCAACAGATTCAAATAAGTTATAAATTTTACTGAAGTGACGGGAAGGGCCTAGCAGTTGGAAATCAACAGATCTTTGCTAGTCAAGACTAAGAATAAATGAACGCTTTATCATCATCGTCATTATTGCCGTCAGCATCATCTATTTCCTGGGATAAAACTATTACAAATTTGAGCGTTACACTATAACACACAAAACATCATATAAAACTGTTAGACATAATTATGTGTATGGTCTCATGTGGGTTTAAATTTTTTCCCTATCGTACTTTATGTCCACAGCTTGAGTAATTTTAAAAACTTTCCAAATATCACTTGTGTTTACACATTGCTATATGCTTGCACATTCAATGCAATTTCCTGTATATAAGCTTGGCATTGAGCTTTGAAGAATTTAAATGATGGTAACAATAGCTTACCACTACACATAGAGTAAAAACGACTTGCCTTTTTTCTAACAATCATAATAAGTATATAGGTAATAGCAGGATGTTGAGTGCAATTTGGTGTTAATAAGCACAAGTGAATTTCTTAAAGACAACAAAATTGCATGAATGCTAATGCACAAATGCAATTTGTAGTCTTTGAAAAATTTGCAAGGTTTTACTACACAAAATTACAAGAGAAATAATGTTATTACTTGTTAATAATGTATATGAAAAAACATCAAAGAAAGTCAAGGCACTGCATCAGGCATAATAACAATGAAGATGAAATTTTGAAAGTGTGTGCGCACTATTTGTAATTTGCACTCATGTTACAACTTTGCACTTGTGTGCCAATCAGAAGCATGCAAATTTTTCATTTGCATTGTTAAATCTGTTTCCAGGAACACTCAAAAACCTCTACAGCAATGAAAAACATACTTGACTCTTTTGCCAGAAGTACCATCTGGCTTTTCATAATCTACTAGTCTGTACTGGAGAACTGCATGCTGTTTTGAACACGATGGGTGATCTACTGCGATATCAACTATCTGAAAAATGTAAATAAAGGAGATAACTAGCCAATCCTGTTTGATTGAGCAACAAGTAAATGTAAAAATATTTAAATGTTTTACATATAACAATGACAAAGAAGTCTCAAAATCTCTTGTAACTTTTGCAATCTTTTGATAATTTATTATTTTAGATTTTTGGTTAACAAGTATAATGACAAACTTACATGTCTCTGTCTTCCAATCAAGTAAGCACTTTGTCTGTGAATGTGCATAACAGCTACAAAAAAAATTTTTTTATATTTCTCACATCAAAGTAAAATAAATGGTGTAAATCCCTCCCAGGGTAAACAGAGTAAGTTGCCAGGTGATTAATGAGAGAGGCCCCCAAAAAAACAACCTCCAACATTGTCCTAAATGGAGTACATGGACTCTTCTCGCCAACTAAAATCAGCTGGAACACAGTTGTGAAGACAAGAAACACAAAACAGTTGAGACTCCAATAAGGGGTATTCATTACAGGAGCTGGCTTCATTTTGGCTTTCACAAGGGGTGTTAATTTCAGTGATATGCAATAATCCGAGGAGGCTAGGACAAAACATTTTTGAGCCTTCAGGTACATACACATTGCCTCCTCTCCTTTAAAAGGATAAAGACGCCATCTTGTCCTTGGCTTCCTTGCCTCTATGGGTTCATTATATTTGATGACCACACCCTTGAAACAACAAACAATCAATAACTGTGAATATATGAAAATCATATAATTATGTGAACTGCAGTTTAAGAAATGAACATGAAAGCAATCTTTGCAGTAATGAACACTACTTAAGCAGTAGTGAAAATAGGGCCTGAAAATAAAAATTCAGGCCTGTACGGAATTGAACCCATGACCTCTATGGTACTGATGGAGTGCTCTACCAACTGTGCTAACAAGCCATCTGGGAGCTGGTCATTATGTCAGTTTGTGATAAACCCCTGAAGTGATGTATCAGTGACTGTGAATATAAGAAAATCATATATGGGAACAAATAATGTTACTGATATCAACCTTTAGACTGCTAAACATTGTTTACATTTAATGAATTTGTATCACTTGAATAATCCCAAGAACAGCAATGCATTTCAAGAAGTATATACTAGTCAGTGCTCAAAGCTCAAAAATTTACAGAATAGAGACTTGCAACTGGAAATCAGAAACTTGTCATCAAAAAAGAATTTATGTTGGCAGCGGTCAACAATCATTTTGGAAGGTTGGCATACCATCTCAAGATTACCCTTAGAAATCATGCACTGCAGACATGATTAGCTGTGGCCTTGAGTGTCCTTGACACATGATTATTGTATAATCTGCAGATAGATGTGTCCCAGGGTTTGATTTAAAAAATTCATTGTATGCTTTCAGCCAATCAGAAAAGAGATTGAATGAGTGAATTGAATGTATAAGAATTAACATCAAACCCAAACATCAAATCAAGTACCAAGCAAATATGTAAATGTCCAGTGCTAAAGGATTTTACTCCAAATGTACCATCAATTAAGACAGAAACCAAAAATTTTTTCTGAGTGGAATAAAAGCAGAATGACAAATTTATTGAATTTGTATTGACTAACAGGTGTCATTACCTTGTAAGTGTTTGAATATTCTGTTAATTTTCCTGAAAGATTGTAATTGGGACCATCTGGTTCAAGGTTTCCATCTTGTCCACCACTGTCCTCAGCAGGTCTTTGATGCCTTTGGATTTGAATACATTAAGAGAATTCTTTAAATTTATGACAAAGAAATAGGTATAAAAAGTTTTAAACATAATCATCCATAAATTAGGATGTGTTGTTCTTCCATTTATTACTGACAGAAATCCCCTGAGTTTGATCAAGTTATTTTTTTTGTGCCTTACAAGAAAGAAATATTCAGTATTTAATCCAGAAAACCAAACATAAGCATACAAGAAAAAATAGTCATCTACCAAATGGACATCTTTGGAAGAAAAAAGAGGCCTAACAAAATATTGGAACTAACAAGCCCAGGATTATTTACTGAGTGTGCAAAAGCATTACAAGCTACATGTAATTTTACAACTCTGAAACCCTTTACATATCGAAATTTAACATTATAATTGTACATGTACACTGTGCTGAGATAGAGTAGGAGTAATTTGCTACATGAATGAGAAAATGTGAAAGAGTTCAAAAGCCAAAAGAGTTAGATGAGCAAATTAATTACAAAAGCCAACCATGAATACTGAGAAACATTACCACATGGAAAGGAAATGTGAGGCAATCAAATACTTGACACCCTTGGACAAAGATGTATTTGTATGTGTAATAATTATTATTGGACTTGACGACTCTTTAAGAATACATTTGAATGTCGTTAAAAGTGGTTTTTTATTTTAGAGATACAAACCAAACCCCTCCCTCTCCCCTCCCACAATATCAGAATTGGTGGGACATGGGTTACCTCATAACCAGTTATAGTGTAAGTTATTATAGCATTAAATGGTACATCATACATTCTGAAAATGATGCTTACTCAGTTGGTGAATGTTGCCTTTCCTGCCTTCTGTTGTGGTATCTTCTCTCTGGATGAGAGGCTGAACAGATAAAAAAATTATTAGTCACATCTTGAGAAAATAATGCAAAATTTATCATCAATAAGTTGTAACATTTTACTTTAAAAGACAATTTGAAATTAAAACTAAATAGTTAAGAGGGTAGGAATTACATTGAACACAAAGTTTTTTAGGTAGTGATATTGTTTTGAGGAGTCTAAGTGTTTCCTTCCTTTGGTAGCTTTCATAATAAGTGACAAAATTCAGTTGCACAAGGTGTGTGGCAGATTGGACTTTATAAATTTACTTGCCCTCTTCTGTCTAAAGTACCCAGACAATCACATGTTCCTTAAAAATTGTACCCTTCACATACTCAGTCATTAAAGATGTTCCTCTTAAAAAGCATTGAAAAAAGTGAAAAATAAAATTATCCAATTTTAAATATGGTTTAATCATTTGAGCCATTCAATTGAAAGGCAATGTAATGGATAAAACAGAAAAAAAAGGTTTCTATCCACCAACCTTCAGGAGCTCTTTCATTGTGATACTTATCTTTGTCCCATTCTCTTCTACTGGCAGATCTACTCTGATTAAAATGAAAAGCATGACAATAACTAAATAACAACTCATAGTCCATGGTAATTTGCCAAGAGTAACCAGTTTTTCCAGCTAAGATAAAAAAAGGAAACGTAGCTGTGTCTAGAACATAAAAATGTTATGTAGTTCTAAGAAGACTACAACAAGTGAAAAAAGTTTTAGGAAACTAGTGAAAAGAAAATTATTTTAGGTTATGTTGTATTAATTGCATCTTGTGCAAATAGAATATGAGTGATGGTAAAAATGTTTTTTGAGCCTAGGAAAGAAATAGAAACAGATGTTTTTTTCCCTCGTGTTGCGAGCCTGGGACAAAGAAAAAATTCTGCATCTCCATGAGAAATTAAACCCCACACTTTTGCATTTTGATGGGCTACTGCTTGGCCAAAGACACTCTATGATGAACTAGGCAGTAATTGGGTTCAAAATCATGACAAATATCCTGTATACAGCTAGGATTAGCAATGTGAAAGTGTTGTGCATATAAAAAGAAATCGCTTCTTGTAACTCTGTAAACAGGGGTGAAATAAAAAAACTTTCATTTATTGCTCAACAAGTTCATTTATTACCAAATGCTCAGCTAAACTTACTCCATGACTTGTGTCTTGATGATGGCTCCTCCTTCCACCATCCACTCTGTTATTTCTTGGTTCTAGATGCTTGCTTAAATAAGAAGATATTACTCAAAGTTCAACTGTTTGGAAGACAAAGTACTTTGGTAGACAAAAATTCAGAGGAACAGGTGTAACAGCACAAGAAAAACTTGTGATTTAGATTAATGACACTGTTCTATCACTAGCTACATGTACAAGATGTATAAACTTCTCAAACTAAGGAGCAAAGTGGTAAATTAACAATGAAAAAAACTATAAATTAGACAATATATTTCTTTGAGCAGACATCAACATTAATTTGCTGCAAGCAAAATAGGGAAAACATTTGCCTGTTCATCTTATCTCATCAAAGTAAGCATAAGAATTCACAGCTTTGAAATACAGTTTGTAACTAATTGATACAGCCATTCTTTTTTTTCTCAGACATATCCTTTCCAATGGGAAACCAATCCATTGCAGACATTAAGCTAGTTAAGCCAATCAGTGGCTAAATCAGCATGTTCTCTACCAATCAAATTGAAGTACATTCAAGTAATTTTCCCCCAACAGAACATGAATTAATATTTGGAGAAAATGTTCACTCTTTTAAGAGCTAAACAGAAATCAGGATAGTTACTCCCTTTCAATGTTCTAAGGATGCATAAATTTCTGGCTCGCTTAAAGAATGCATTTCGAACAATTCTCAATGGTTGTGGTCAGAAATCTTAAAAGGAGAATAAATTATTCTTATATTTGAATTGATAACAAAAAGAACTTCGTTTGAGTTATAGGCTAAAATTACTACTGCTGTTCGCCTTCATTGCTGATCGAGATAAGAGTTCCTTTCGTTTTCCACCTTTGATTTTATTTCCGAAGCTAAGGAAATTATGTAAGAGTCAAGGTCCATGCCCTATTACATGAATCACTTTCCCTTAGTGGTGCAGAACTATTTATTAGCAAATCACTTTACGACACTTTGGTTCCCTTTCGAACTCCAAAATTTGTGATTAGTTTCGATCTGTAACTGAAAAAAAGGCCTTCTATTTTACAACTTACTCCCTGCGTTGACTTCGCCTATCACGTTCTCTTTCGTTATCACGATCGTCTCGATTTCCTCTGTTTCGTGCAGGTGATCGCGATCTCGAACGATGTCTCCTCACAACGCTCGCCATTTTAAACTATATCGTCCCTTCATATAATTAACACAGAGTGTGATTCGAAGTTTGGAAAGATACTTCAAATAAGACTTCACTGAGCTAATGTGTCACACCGTAAGCCTTCTCAAGAGGAAGACGAGAAACAGGATAGAACGGTCAAATAGATTTTCAATAATCTTTTAGGCATTAATTTTCAATAGAAAACCTCTTGTGATGAAATCCTTTATCATTCTTGTGGAACTTTACTCACCTTACATACCTCCTCTCATCTATATACGTCATGGCTGAATGCCATAAAAACGAAAAATAGCTGAAAACATTCATATTACAGGCTTCATGCGTGGCTTACGACATGCCCTAGTTAGCCTTTTTTTACCACGAGAACCCACTTCTGCCCCGAATTAACCATTTTCTACCACATTAACCTACATTTACCATAATTTGGCCATGTTCTACCCCGTTAACCCACCTCTACTCTAAGTTACCCATGTTCTATCACGTTAACCCCAATCGACCTAAGGTTAACCATATTCTACCCCGCTAAGCCCCATCTACCCTAAGTTAGCCATGTTCTATCGCATTAATCCCCATCTACCTTAAGTTAACCATGTTCTACCACGTTAACCCACATCTACCCCAAGTTAGCCATGTATAACCCTGCTGACCCCTAGCTACTCTAGGTTAACCATGTTCGACATCGTTAACCCCCATCTACCCTAAGTTGGCCATGTTCCATCACATCAACCCACATCTACCTCAAGTTACCTATATTCTACCACGTTGACCCTCACTACCCTACGTTAACCAAGTTCTACCACATTAAGTCCCATCTACTCTAAATTAGCCATGTTCTACCCGATAGCCCCCACCTACGTTTATCTAGCCAAGTTCTACCACGTTAACCCCCATCTACCCTAAGTTAACCACATTCTACCACGTTAATCCACATCTACCCCAAGTTTGCCATGTTCTACTCTCTTGACCCTCAGGTACTCTAGTTTAACCATGTTCTACCACGTTAACCCCCATCTACCCCAAGAAAGCCATGTTCTACCCTATGAACCTACATCTACCCTTAGTGAACCATGCTCTACCACGTTAACCCCCAAATTACGCCTATGATTTCAGCCCAAATTGCACTCCACTCAGTTCAATTATCATTATTAATATTTTCAGGCATGTAAAATTAACAAACGACATCGTTTGGAGAATTGAGGGATTCAGAGGATGACAGTTTAACAGGTAAAAACCAATTTTCATTCTGCAACTGATTAGAGCTGTTTAGAGCTCATGTTATTTATAGTGAACGATCGTAATCTTAATTTTCGTGAGGCTGACAACAATTAAGTCTAATTTCAGTCGAATTTTTCCGGTTTATTGCTGTCAGATGTGAAAATATTTCACTTACATACACTTATAAATTTAATTGGTTTCTTTCATTTGACTCGTGGTTAAATAGTCTGCACGCGACGCAATTTCCTAAAACCTTCAACTCCTAGAAATGGTATATCTTGTATCTTTTCCCTGTAATACCAATACTTGACAATTTTCATAGCTATTAGTGGACCGTGTGTTTGCCTTAACGAAGATAATATCCAGTTGAGAAAGGTACACGTGAACAATTTTAAGTATAAGGATGAATTGGAATTTTTCATCCAGCTACGAAACAAAACCGCTCTTAAGGAGATCGATGCAAGAAATACTGTTACATGCCTTAACGAAGATAATATCCAGTTGAGAAAGGTACACGTGAACAATTTTAAGTATAAGGATGAATTGGAATTTTTCATCCAGCTACGAAACAAAACCGCTCTTAAGGAGATCGATGCAAGAAATACTGTTACAAGCTAAAATCCTCCGCTTGATTTGCCGGAAGAGGAGGAAGTGGCCAACGATGTGATCCAAGTTGACGTGAGGTACTCCCAATCAAGAAGCTTCATGAAATCATCGTTACTCCTATTGCTGATCTGATCGAAGGCAACGGGCTAACTTTCATTCCTGAGAAGCCATTTTGCCTTGTACCTTATGCAGCATTGCAGGGCTCGAACTCATTATATCTAAGTGGTTCTCACAGAATTTGTGTACTTCCCTCTCTTCCGACGTTGCAACTAATTCATGATTGTCCAGCTGACTTTCACATGAAGACTGGTGCATTGCTTGTCGGCGACCCATGTTTAAAGATATCATCTATCAGGGAAGACGTTTGGTGCAACTTCCAGGAGCAAGGAAAGAAGTGGAGATGATCGGACGTATCCTCAATGTTTTCCTTCTAACTGGAGAAATGACATGAAAACATGAAGTGTTAAAACAATTATCATCAGTAGCGTTAGTTTATATTGCAGCGCACGGTAAAATGGAAACTGGAGAAGTTATCCTGGCACCAAACACTACAAGAGAAGACCCTCAGCCGCAAGAGAAAGACTATCTACTGACGATGAAAGATTTCATAGAAGTTGGGTCGCGGGCAGGACTGGTTCTACTAAGCTGCTGTCACACTGCTCGTTGGGAGATTATGGCTGAGGGTGTGGTCGGCAAAGCGCGTGCACTTCTGGGTACCGGTACTAGACCTGTTGTGGTAACCTTGTGGGCGATTGACGACGAGGGAACCTTAGAGTTCATGAGCTTCTTCTACAATGCACTTGCTAATGGCAACAAGGCAAGTGAAACTCTCAATCAGGCCATGAAGTGTATGAGAGAAATTGAAAAGTTCAAGGAAGTGAAGTACTGGGCGCCATTAGTTCTCATTGATGATGACGTCAACCTGGATTTAAAGGATTTTTAGAAGCTGAAGCAAGTATATATTCTGTTTAAAAATTCGATTCAATACAAAGTTAAATTAAATCATAATTATTGCTCATATGTGGGCACTGATAATTGTGTGTTATTTTCCTTTCAGGTGGGTTACGCATTTACTTTTTTCTCTGGCAAATTGAGATGCAACAGAATCAAGTGGACTCATTTACGATAATAACATTTTTTTTAAGAAACATGATGGAGTAAAAAAGAAGATTTCTTTTAAAACAATCCTGTTGCGTAATGTATCGTTTCATGTGCTAGAAAAAAGTACATAGCAACTCAACTATTCTCCCTAAAATTCAATTCTTTTACTTTTCAGTTAAGGAGTGAGCATCGGAATCTCAGGAACTTTTCTAATACCTACAAACGCTGATATTTGGACCAGAAACCAGTAAGCTACCGATGAAATCTTTGTCAAAAGCCTTCTTTTCAAAGCAGGAAGAACCAAAAGACAGCGAAAGTCAAGTTTAACAAGAGAAAGGATTTCCTTTGATTCAAAAGTTGACTATTTTCTTGTCTGAACTGCTCTTACGAGCTTGATCTTTGATATCCTGCTCAAACTACTGTTATTTTTTTCATATGATGCCTTGAAATTATCACGACTAACTGCGTAAAAAGTTACTTTTAATCTAAATATTACTTACGAAGAGGATTAAGGCTCTAAATTTATGTCGAAATTGAAACGTCTTGAAAACGTTTTCCAGAGTTTTTTACAGATGTTTTTCTCAATCGGTTTTTGTCTCATGAGTGATATAAAGCTGTTACAGCCATATGCGTGTGTAGGGACTTTCTATGGAAAATGGAGAATAATCAGTTATCTAATTGCTCAATTATCTTAGTTTATGTCAAATGGACACTGTGATTAACTTTTCGAGGATTTGTACCCGGTCATTGGTACATAAAGTTATTTTCTCTCGATCAGAATTTAGTTTATGCGGACTTAAAATGACAGATTTTGGCCGTAATGGCCAGGATTTAGTCTTGGTATTAGTTAATTTTCTGAGATTTTTCCTTTAATTTTGAATGTGATAAATTTCGTTTTTATACAAGCATAACAATGCATTTTAAGTATATTGTTTAAACTAATCAACCAAAGGAAAAACGAGAAATATTCTTATAATTTTAGTTACTGGCCTACAAAGCATTCAAAGAAACTCAGAAAGAGCTAGAAAGTTGGAACCAAATGATTTTATTTAGTCACTCCAGTTAGATTGTTTACCTATTGTCTAAGTAGAGTAAACAAACATTTGAATGTCTAACAAAGAAACACGTCGCTTGGCATTTAGTTGGAATGGAAGGGGATATCAATAACAAAGGGAAGAAAATTTCTGCATCAACCTGCATATGCCATTTCTTGTCGTTTGAAGTAGTGAGCGCGCCTAAGTCTTATTCGCTTAATAACTTTTGCTCATTTGTTTGAATAGATTTATTGAATGAGAGATAAACTTCGATATTTTCTGACTCTATAACTGCTAGTATCGATCATTAGCAGCCGTCCCTCATAGTGTCACGCGACGCTCTTCTTTAGCACGTTATATGACAGAGGATGTTTTGTCACATCTTGTCGTTTGAAGTAGTGAGCGCACCTATGTCTCATTTGCTCAACTTTAGCCAATTTGCTTGGATAGAGTTTTTAAAGGAGATATAAACCTCGATATTTTCAGATTTTACAACTGCTAGTTTCATTGGCAGCCGTTCCTTAGGATGTCACGCGACGCACTTCCTTTGCGCGTCATGCGACAGATATGATGTTTTGTCTTATAACGTTGAAGAGGTAAGAAAAAAGAAATTACCTTTCACTTTGGGAGATGGTGCTTTAATCTGTATAGAAAGCGTCCTCAGCTTGGGAGGTATTGAGTGTAGAAAATATTGATCTAATATTTTTCCACGATTGCCTACCATCTAAACTTAACTAGAACAGCCTATGACAAAAAAAAAATACTAGAAATTTTCTTAAAACTGGGTAGAGACGACCTGGAAGAACCTTTTACGGCTAATGGTTAAAATCATGGCCATTGTTCTGGGACGGTTAACCCAGAATAACTTAAAAAAACACATTTTAAGAAGGAAAGATTTTGAAAGTCAATTTTTCTATAACTATGGGTTAACATTTATCAATTTTCTATGCCTAACAGCTAATTTTTTGGCCGATTTACGGCTAACGGTTGACCCTATTGAGACTGTCGACTAAGCGACTTGTGCTGGTTTTTTGAGGGGTAAGGAAAACCGGGAAAAATAAGCTGTGCAAAAATGCTGGAAGTAAGGATCAAAATGGGAGAGACGGGCTTGGGGAGAGCGTTGTATTAGCTATATAGCATATATTACAATCATTTTCAGAAAAGAGTCATGGGAAGTGGGGAAGGGTGGGTCGAGTTTCCGTTTATCCCCCCGGGTTGGGAGTGTAAACAGCTACGTGGTTTCATGGGTAGTATCACAGGATGGATTCTCAAAAATCTTAGAGCAACGATTTCAGAAGGTAAAGATACGAATTTCCCTGAGTAATTGCTGGACTTAGGCTTCTTTCATCTTCTTAGATTTTCTCTTCGTGCTTTGTAACTCTACTCCATCTACTCACCTTATAGCGGTTTTAGTTTTAATAGAGCTCTTCGCGTGGGCCGATTGGCTAATTCGGAATTACTTGTCGAACCTGTGTTAAGCGGTCAAATTCTCGAATTTTTTCCTCTTATGCATTGTCACTTTCACCGCTTTTTAGCGGTGGTCTCTTTTAAGCGGTTGTGGTCATCCTTGACTGAGTCCCATCGGCCTGTTCGGGTTGTAGAGAGCGGTCACTTAGAGCGGAAACACTCGAATAAACCAACGAATTCTCCCTGAAGTAAACTTTATTCCATGTTTGTCTCCCAAAAGTAGTATTTAGAGTTCGAATATCCTCAACGCGTTGCAGATTATCTTTCCTCTTAAGACTGTTTGTTTCTAACAAATTTTACGCAAGAAAATTACGCAAATCATTTGCCGGTTAATTACCAAGAGGTCTGAGTGTTAGAATTCTGATTTATTGTTCTGTTTTTACGCTGCATCATCATTTTGTTGATGTTGTTCGATACATTTTTGAGCGTTTTTTTTAACTAAGCTCCACATTAAAATAAATGATAAATTATGGTGTTAAATGTTGTTTTGTTCTCTTTTGTTGTTCACCTGTATTAAACGGTGATAACACTCAGTCATAACACTCAGTCATAACGCTCAGTCATAACACTCAGTCATAACACTCAGTCACGGGTTAAACACAGTTGCTCGATTTAACTGTCTTGGTGAAATTATGATACAATGAAATGGTTAACTATGGGCTAAGAAAAAGAGACGAGTTCCTTGATGTCATTACCCTTTGGCCCTCTAGAGTGTACGCCGGGATTTTCGCAAGTTCTCGCCGAGATTCCCACGGGACACCTGTTGGGATCTTTCTCGGGATGCCGGTCAGTAAATTTCTAATAGGGTGCCAGCGGGATATCGGCGGGGATCCCCGCCCGGATAAAAACGAGCAAACAAAATTGAATGAAATCCGGTTTCGCCGGTAGTTCCACGAATCCAATATTTCACTCCCACCTCACTTTCCACTTCCGCTTATTTTTTTTCTGAGAAAGATCAGAGGTCTTCACGATGTTGGAACTCGCTAACTGTACCAAGCTGTCAAACAAGAAGGCTAAAATTGAAACACACTCAGTTTTCATGAATTGATTCGAAAATAGCAGATAGTTCAGCGAACAACACTTTGCAGGAGTAATTACAATGCTGTCAATATTTTCATGAAAGCGCTTCAGAGCCGTGCAAGCCCGCTCTGAGCTCTTCTTATCTGGTTAATTGCGGTATGTCAGCCCTCCGCGCAAAGTCTTTCTTGTAGCCTGCAAGGCAAGAATCCAATTTTTTTGTTGCTGGAATTTTTTTAGTCCATGTTTGAATCAAGACTTGAAATATGAATAATTCGCACGTGTGAAAGAAATAGTTCCGATATTTGCCAACTACGTATCCTCCCTTGCCGCTGGTTCTTTGCTCCTCAGTTCCAAACTCATACCTCCCTTCCCAAATCTTTCGCCTAATTACGGACCTCATTAGTAACAGAGAATAAATAATGATGATAATAATAACAATAATAACAACAATAACAATGATAAAAACCCGCTTAAAACACCGAGGCAAACCACAATATTTATTATTATTCTATTGTCTTTTTTCCTTCCTAGCTATTTACTTGGCTTTTAGCCCAACGCAAACTGCTTGCTCTATTTTGGATATATTAATTTCCAATACTTGATGTATTATCTTAAAGAAAATATCAAATACAAACAATAATAGTTAGAATCCATTATCGTTCACAGCGAAATAGATTTACAAAAGAGTCGTCTTCAGTTACAAATGCTACAATTTGCCTTTCCATGCTTTCCAGGTCATAATAAAGCAACAAAACAACAAAACAAACACAAAAACAACAAAAAAAGCAACAACAACACCTAGATACAGACTGAATCATACTGTAGTAACTAATGAGGGAACCTCCTGCATTTTGTGATCTTTACCCCAAACTATAGCAGATCTCCGACAAAGTGAACCAGATAGAGCGGAGTTTACATTTGAACGTCAACGTTGACGCATCCATGAGTCACAACAGACGCTGTGATATGGCGGCCTTGGCGGCGGGACTTGACAAGAGATGGGTTGCGTAAGAGAGTCACGGCCAGGAACCAGCGGTTGGCAGCCTTTTTAGACATGCGCGGCCGACGGGACTCTCGACTAAAGCCTAAAAGACAAGACAATATAAGCTGCGTTTGAGAGGTTTGGACGAGATCTGGAGGGACTTCGTCAGTATTTCAAGTTAATAACCCTTCAAAAAATTAGTTCATGACAACAAAGGAATAATAGCAATAAAGAAAATAGGCCAAAAGAAAGAAATTTCTTTCGTGCTTTGAATAAGAAGGGAGACAAAATGTCTTTTTTTCGTTCACTATTTTTTTTGGAATGGCAACGAAAAGCCCTTTAAAGCAAATATTACAAACCTTCAGAACGTCCTACCTCGATGCCAAACCTACAATATACAGGTTCTGTCGGAGATCCGGCGGCAAAATAGATGCCTTAAAACACGGTACTTGAAAACTAATTTTAATGCTTAAGCACTTCAGACTCAAGGTGAAAAAAAGGTTACACATGTAGGGATGTTTCTTTTTCTCCTCATGAAAGACTTAAAACTGTTCTATATCACCCAGAATGCAATCATTTTCTAAAGGTCGGCTTGAAAAGTAACTGTCGGCGAGATACTTTTTAGTTGATCAAAAAACTGTGCAAAGGGGCAAAGAAGAAAGGCTAGCTTTCAGTATTCTCGTGTGACCACACAATGAATATAAAAAGAATAGTAACCGACTGAACATAGCTCGCATCGTAAGTTTCTTCTCAATAATGCCCATTTTTTATCAAATCTGACTTGGGGAATGGGGTACGCTTTCTGTCAAATTTTCCACGATTTCACATTACTAACAACGCTTAAGAAAAGAAAATTATGTAATTCTTGCCCTCCGTGAAAAGATTATATCTAGTGTTCTGATTGGTTGCTAAGTACCGATTGCCAGTGCACAAACCGCGCTGTGTTTTGATCTTATTAGGGAAACAAACGTGCCAATTGTCTCTGAGCCCCAGTTTCCCATTCGTCCGATGTCCGCCCATGCGTGCGGACGCTCATCTGTCCGTTTATCAATCAAGCAAATCAGAATCCTAGGAATGCATTATCCCAGCCGAGTCGTGATTTTGGAGACAGTTTACTTACGCTTTTGCAAGGGCTGGTAATATTTTTGTCTGTCAATAAGCAACTGACAGAACACCAGCATCACGGGATGTCTGTGGGCAACCAGCACAGTCACAAAACCAAGGTATGCGACAAAAGCTAGAAAGAAAATTAAGAAACTGTAAAGTGAAAGTCAAAGGTTGTCCAGCATCCCACAGGTTTTGCTTTAGTTAGCAAAATGCAAACTATATAAATCCTGTGCAATCCTCTCGACCAATCAGACATGAAGCTAATACGAATCAGTATAAAGCCACTACCGTTTCCTGCGTTCTGGGCGATTTATTTTGATCTTGCTCGACCTTCCTTGCGTCACTGAAGTCTTATCGACATTAATTAATTGGTTAAAAGCTGTTTTAAGAAATAGTGAGCATCTTGGCAGCAGAATAGGTCTATATCTCCCTTCACATAGCCTCTACTACTAATAAATTGCTTGTACTGGATGCCTGCTACGTACCTTTGTCCCAAGCCTGGAAACCCTGCATCAGTGATGAACGGTCAATACGAGAGATGAATATCACTCCTAAAAGTATGCCGTTTAGAATTCTCATGAAAGCAGAGAAAATTCCAAGAATTATGTTGTAGAAGAAGAAAAAGTACGACATGATAGAGAATAGCCGCCTGAAAGAGAGAGAAAGAGACCAAAAATAAAATGTACATGATACGGGCTGAGTATTTTAAGCTTAGTGACCCATTAGCAAGATGTGAATATAAGAGAATTACTAATTAACCTGGAAGAAACCAGTACAACACACAACAAACCGACAACAACAACTACAGCAACAAGAGCAACCATCACAGCGGCAACGAAAACAACAACAACAGTCATCACCACTACAACATATATGCCAAATATCTTTTTATCAGAGACGTCTCTGTTAGCGAGTTTTTGCGTAGAAGTTCAATTAAGCTACTGTAGCTTTGTATCGAACGTTCTCTCGGCAAGGCGTGAGTTGATCACTAAACATGCAATAGAAAATTAAATTTACCATCAACACAAAGATAAAATTTGCTACGCCATTGGTCATTAGCAGCCCAATTTATAATGGTAATAGAACTTAGCGGAGTCCAATTCGGTCTGTAATCATACGAGTGATCGAGAAAATTTGAGAAAGAAACTAGACATCGGTTGTACGTTTTTATTAAAAAAAAACTCTACATGCTCTGTCCACTTACACAGGCATGACATGTTAACTGTCCCTTTATCTTTCCTTTTACACTGTCCAATTACAAGCATGACGCGTACACTGTCCTATTGGTGCTCAAATCGGGCTGGTCATAACCGATCACGTTCGAGAATTTTGCTTTACTACTGAGTTTTGATCAGTGCACTAATGGGACAGTGTACAGTTCACGTTGTGCTTGTAACTGGCCATTTATCGCAACATGCCTGTGTGATTATACACGTTATATGCATGCTGTTATAATTTTGTCAATCACTTGATTAATTACGAACCGAATTGGACTGCACTCTGTCAGGCCTAGTACTACTCATAAATGTCTACATGTGTTTGTCATGAGTAGATCAGTTGTTCAGGGCGTGCTTATCACACAACAAGAAATTCAGCTCAGACTGATATACAACAATACCTGTTATCAATTAAGACAGTGATGTTCGGATAAGTCGAGTCACGGAAGACGAAATGTGTTAGAAACAACTGGAACAACATCAGGAAAATAGCTAAGGCCAAAGTTGGTCTGTAAAAACAACATTACATGAGTACTAGATTGCGTCTTTCGGAAAGCCTTGTGGTCTCACAATATGAAACCGGCTTAGCCACGAGATTCTGACTGAGCAAATATGTTACTATATCTTGTTTTGATGCATAAGCAATGTTTAGAGTTGGATTGAACATGTAGTAGAGTATTTTTCAATGGAGTGTCGAAATTAATCAGTGATTGGTTTGGTTTTGCTCAACCTCGCCGTGTGATTGGTCCAGAAAGCTCGCGCCATCTTCTTAACCAATCAGATTCAAAACTTGAACGAATCGTGATTTGGTCACTCGCGTTTTCCCGCCTTTTATTCAGTATGACCACAACGATCACAATGTTAAATGATAAAATTACAATTATAGGTAAGCTACAATATAGTAAGGGTTTCTTTGTATTGGTGTCGGAAAAAGGAATGGAAATATTATATTATTTTAAGTCATTTAATGCAAATTATAAAAAAAGGCAGGTTGATTACTTCTTACTCCTTCATGGTGGTCTTATCTTAAAGGCTGAGTTTGGTGACGTTCTTCTTGTGAGTTTGGTCACGTTCTCCTAGTGAGTTTAATCACGTTTTCCTCGTTGTGATCGTGAGGTTGACATGGAACTCGTCATAACCAATGTTCTTAATTCAGTTAATTTGTTAGTCCAGGAAGAGTAAATCTCCCTAGTAATAGGTCGCGTTCGACACCTTCTTGTCCCCAGAGGTAATTTTAGGTGTAAACAGGTGATGCCCTTCGTGTTTCGCAACTAAAAGCAATTTGGGGGCGGCACTTGTGAGCGCCTTTCTTCTTTAACTCTTGTGACCAAGATGTTGTTATGTAACAATCTTTAAAGATGATTTTCTCTTAAGATACCCTTTCAGGTATAAATAATACTCTGAACCAAGGTTATTTGTAATATTTATATTATCGATCTCGTTTCTGTTCTAGCCGATCTCAACCGTAAAGATATGAAAATTAAGGTAGAAATTGATTTTGTAACTGCGTAAACAACTCGAAGGTTCAAACTCCGTATGTGGGAACTGTAATACATAGTCAAGCGTGATTCGCTAGTTGAGATGGTACGATGACGACACAAGAAGATTGACGGCTTAGAAATGTCATCCGCAGTGTCACCTTTATAAGCGGAGACTCTAGTTTTTCCTATCAGATAGCAGCTAGTCCCCGTTGTATCAATTTGTGAAGAAAGAGAATAAAGAAGAATTTACCTATCAAACGACGAGTGTTAGAAAATTTACTTCTAACAAGCTGTTGGTTGGACTTCGGACTTATCAGTGGTCGTGGTAGAGGTTCTAACCAACAACAACCTCCTCGCTGCCCGCGCTCTTTACCACAAGAGCTTCTTTGAAACTTACAGTTCCAGTACGAACATTTGTTACGACGTCTTAGAAGGCAAGAGCCTCGGCGTACGCGTGGCATATAGACGTTTTCATTTTGTTTACAAGTAGAGGAAACTGAAAGAAAAACCAGGAGAAACCAGGCTACCAAAAGAAAAGCCAAGAAAACAAAGCAAACAGCAACAAAAAAGAACATTAAGGACCAGTGACATTCTAGGCCACTGAAGGAAACAACAGAAATGCCAGGATAGCGGGAAAGTCAAGACAAGACCAGTGACCTTTTGGGGAATTGCAGGACAAGCACCGACAACCAAGGATAACCGAAAGATCAAGCAAGTACAAGTCACAGTAAGAACCGCCACATCATTTTGCATATGGTTACTTTCTACTATGCTCCTTGGACAATTTGAACATTTTTTATTTACTCTTCCTGGACTAGCAAGTTAACTGAATTAAGAACATGGCTTATCACGAGTTCCATGTCAACCTCACGATCACAACGAGGAAAACGTGATTAAACTCACTAGGAGAACGTCACCAAACTCAAATGAAGAACGTGACCAAACTCAACCTTTAAGATAAGACCACCATGAAGGAGTAAGAAGTAATCAACCTGCCCTTTTTTATAATATGCATTAAATAACTTAAAATAATATAATATTTCCATTCCTTTTTCCGACACCAATACAAAGAAACCCTTACGATATTGAAGATTTACTATAATTGTATTTTTATCATTTAACAAATTAGCTTGTTAGAAGTAAATTTTCTAACACTCGTTGTTTGATGCAGTCATATGACTCTCATTCTTAAGATTCAAATCGATACAACAAATACATCGGTAAAACTTACAACAAAGCAATTCCGGTTTCTCTTAAATATTTCCATGATTCTGGGGTGAGCAATTCTTCCGGATATTCGATAACGATTGCTAAAGCAGCAGCCACAGTTGACAGAAAAGTTGTCAGGATCCCAAAACCTAGAAAAGAAATGAAGATAAAATATTAAAGAGCTTCATGGTGAGATCACATTTGCACCAAGAGCACTGCGTAATTACGAGCCCATCTGATAGTATCAACAGTGACTTAAAATTTGCAGGTTTATGAAAAACTGTTACTTCCCTACAGTGACCGCGTTGCTTCTCAGCTATGATTAGATCACAAACAATCTGAATTTCTTCAAATTCAAGTTTTGGCAACAACACAAAGGTTTCGTTTCATGAATCTAACATAAACATCTATTCAAACGCGACAACTCTGTAGGAGAAAAAAAGTCACTAGGGAAAAAAAAACGTTAAATAAACCGCTTAAAGAACCAAACTTTATTCTCAGAATTTCAAATCCCTATTATTGCGTATTTCTTTGGTACATTTGTATCATGTTCAAACAAGGTCAATGTCATTATCTAAGAAATTGCGCTCCTACCCCTCCCCTAACCCAACATTAACCCTGACTTGTTATCAGTTGACTGTTATTGGGTTAGGGGAGGGGAAGTTGACAATTGTTCAGATACTGATATCGATCAATCAAACAAACAAAGGGACAAACAGAAGGTTTGCATAAGATACTGCGTCACATCAAATTCATTTTCTTATACCAATCAATGTGTATGCTATCTGATATCCAGAAAATCGGAGACTCTCCCCCTAGCAAGAATAAAAAGGAAAAAAAACAATGACACACTTACGCACAAGATATTGGAGATAACTATTCTAGTGACATACACGACACTTGTCACATGACAAGCTTTGTAGATGGATTGGTTCGTAAACGAATTCTTTGTCATTAAGAACTTGTTCATTACACTGTAAACGGAAGTCTTAAGGTCCAGCTGAGGACACGCACATTTTTCCGGGTCTGGAGTTCTTGGAAATCTTCTGTTTCCCACATCATCATTACATTTCTGTCGTTTTCTTGTGGTATCCTTATCATTTTTATGGTTATCATTTTCCCAAACACTATTATTGTCATCATCATCATCATCATTATTATTATTATCAGTAATAGTAGTAGTAGTATCTTAAATATTAATACTATCATCGTCATTATCGTCAATATCGTCATGCCGTAATGATTCGATTTAGTGCCCGGGCACTTACTTACTTTTGGTTCTTCAAGGAAGAGTGCTTATTCGAAATAGGGTGCTTGTTAGGGATAGGGCCCAGTTTCTTCTCTTTTTTTGTTTCTTTTGTTTCGAAAAACGGCAAAATGTAGGGAGCATGGCTTTGATGTTTATTTGAAAGCTTCAAAAGACTAGAAAATGGATTTGTTATTCCAGGATCCATCCTGACTACAACGACTAGCCAAGCAGTTTAAGAAAGTCACGACGGTAACGGGAACGACACGAAACAAAACGTTTAATGAGTAGAACAACGGCTGTGTACGTGGGTAAAAAATCTTTGTAAATTTCTTTGCGTAAATCTGCAAAACAACAACATGAAATGACCCACCTTTCCGTTGTCTGGATAACGTGAACGGCGACAGTTTTTTTTTAAACTCCCATTTCTAATTTGAAACTGTGTTCCATATTCAGTTTCGAGATATTTTGACAGCGAGATTCGTAGGTAAAATATAAGTTAATTTTTTAACCAACGTTGTTCATAGCATCGCCGTCGTCGTTTCTTAAACTTCCTATCATCCGTCACTTAACCACAGTACGTACCACTGAAGCTGCAGGAGTCGAGAGAAGGTCCTTTGAAAATGTTGCTTGCCCTTGATAAAACTGAAGCACGTGTTCTCTGAAATAAATTTTTAAAACATTGGACGTGAGCGCATGGGTCCAGAAATCGTTTACAAAAACAACAACTCCAATTTGCAAGGGTGCATAATTGCCACGGAATACTTTATTTTAATAAACAGTATAGAATACAGTTATAAAATAATGAAAAACAGCAACAATAACACATATATATATGTGTATATATATATATATATTTATTTCATCACTTTCCCTTGACACTGAATTTGTTACGTCCTACATGTATAAATTTGCTTCCCGTGAATGGAGGCAGCCTTAAAAGTCTTCCTTAATAAAAAAAAAATTCAGCACACGATGATTGACTCAGGTGAAGCTTCAGCGTTTCCAAATTAAGATGAAAACTCACCGATGGCATTTCATGAAGTGGAGCAACACTGAAAGAGAAATGACAGCAGACAAGACAAGTCCTGCTTCTAACCCATCTGCAAAGAAAATAAATAAAAAAAAAGAATTACAATAAAAATTAACCATCTAACCAACTCTTTTTTATTCGCATGTCGTTCGGAATAGTTTTTCCGGTTTGATTGCTGGTCTGTTTCAAGTAGGTTTGAGTCGGGTCAAAAATAGGCAGGTTTGGGTCGGGAAGAAAATAGGAGGGAGGTTTGGGTTGGGTAGAAAACAGGAGGGAGGTTTGGGTCGGGTAGAAAACAGGAAGGAGGTTTGGGTGGTTTGGGTCGGATAGAAATCAGGAGGGAGGTTTGGGTCAGATTGCGTTCTCTACTTTCGACCCGACCAAAAAATTATGTTATTCGCTTCATCGATATTATCGCACTTTTAACTTTACTACCACGCATGGTTTTCTAACTAAACAACTGGAACAAGTTTTTTTCTAGCTTACAGAAAGAAAAACTTACTATAGAGGACGTCTTCAAAATCAGCCGAGCTGGTGTCACCAATATTTATGTATGCTTCAATATATGCTCCTCTTAATTCTTCCATTAAGGAAAACACTGCCATGAAGACCTAAGTAGAAAGTAAAACATCAGTTGGAAGAGAGTGCCAGCATGCAATTCCTCTATGTACTAATGCTGTTGTTTTACCATTGCAGTTCTCCCGCTATTAACTTACAGCTAATTTGATGTTTGACTTCAGACATAGATTTGCACTTTGAATCATTCAAAAACTCCTCCACTATATTTGTGAGATCCATTCTCATAACACCCGATCTTCTGCATCTGACAACTTTTATAAACAAAGCTCTTGACTGTCAACTCGACCCCTCGCCCTACCTGTAGCCTGGAAACTTTAATCTGTATCGAAAGTAATTCGTAAAATGCATCTATGTATATACGTATGTATGTATTTATGAAGAAAGAAATCAAAAACAAAAACAGTAATGAGTATGATAAATGACCGAGGCGACGGTGACGAAAACGGTGACGAAAACGATGACGATAACGATGACCATGGAGACAGCGTGATTCACTTCGTCAGCAAGTCGCACAGTCAGTCAGTCAGTCATTCTGCCATCAAAGTATTACCAAAAGTGAAAGCAAATGTAGAATACTTAAATCAATAAAAATTATCCAACTCACTTGAAAGATCGTTAAAGCGCTAACCAACGTTGCTGAAATGAATTGTGTCGAAAATTTGAAATCTAAATCCAAGAAATAAAAGTGAAATTCATATAAAGTTAAAACAAATTTTAACAAAAAACGACTGGGTGTCATTTAAATCATCTCCTTATTCAAATGCTTCCTGCTCGTGCCTCAAAGACATGGCGCGAACAAAATATAATTTATTTACCTTTCCTTGGTTTGTAGAAACAACGAAGCAGACATGAAAACCAGTTTAATCCAACCTTATTCCCCCTGTTTGAAGCAAAACAAAAGGGAATTATACCACCGATCCCGAATAACTAGAGAATCATTGTAATCTGTCTGAGCTTATGCAAAAACGAAAGAAATATATCACTTGAATCCTTCATCACAAATGTATGCATCAATCCTACGTCTATGTTATCGCTGGTGATCAATGGTGCCCCTTTTCTTTACGTACACGTTCTTTTTAACTAAACACGACAGCCTTACACGTAGGCCAAAGGAATCAAGACTGATTGGAGCGCTTTCCAAACCAATCACAAAGAGTAATGAGTGAATTAAGAGATTCAAGTATAAATCTTAAAGTGTTTGGTCAACAATTCTGCAGTCTGATTGGCTTTACTAATCCTTCATTATTTAACAATAAGAGCGGAACATTTCTATTTGAGCAACAGATCGAACTTCCTATCGGTTTACCGGCATAGTAACCTACTTAAGTTGTTGGGAGAACACGACAAAAGTTTGTAGATCACTCGCCTCAGGCTATTTATTAACAAATTTTTCTCGCTTTCTTTTAACATTCCAAGAGGGTTTTCACGTTGGTAAACCGATAAAAATTGCAGTCTATTGCTTTTACAATATAACTTAAAACAAAGCAGATGGCTTAACCAGTGCAGTAAATAGTAGCGTTTTTACCAATCAAGGCGCTCGTAGTATCTAAGTCATATCAAAAAGAGTATTAGTTATGAGTGCGATGTCAGAATCAATCATAGCGCAGATAAAATCCCAAGCGACAAATCTTATCGGTCTAGAATAAACCTTTGCCCTCATAAGCTGTCAAGCGGTAGAGAATATTTCAGGCGAATAATCTTACCGTGGAAAAAAACCCATTTTACAACACTTTGTCTGAATAAAATTTACATGCTAGATTGTCAATTTCAACTCCTTACGAAATTGATCCTGGGTTCAGAAGTTCCGTCATGTGAGCGATTTCAATTTCACTCGCCAAACGCTTATTGCGGATTTGCTCGCCACCCTGGAAAAGAAAAGTTTTAATTTGTCAGCAGCAAAAGATTTCAAACAAACTTTAACAACAGTCACCCTTATCTGGGCATGGTTTCAGACAAACTGTAAAGTACAAAGAGGGTGCAAGCAGCAACTCCACCCCAATCCCCATCCTCGGAAAGGTTTTCATAACCAGCGTACAAAACTGTGAGACAATTATCACGAAAATCGCGACTTATCGACGAAACATCGTGCTATATGAACACTTGTCTTTAAAATGTCGAAAGTAACCATTATTGCTTCGTTTATGCTTTACTTCGCACTGTGATTGGTCCAGAAAACTCGCACCACTCTCTTCACCAATCAGATTCAAAACTAAATCGACTTGGTAACCCACGTTTTCCCACGTTTCGGGAAGTTTGGTTTTATGTGGCTCTGAAAGGTAGAAGCTGTGGTTGAGACAATCGCGATATAGTATTGCACTGTTCAAACAGGTTTCGCTCTGGGCGATATATCGTTTCAACTCAGCGATGTACATCTATCGCTGCAGGTTAGGGATATATCACTACGTACCTTGTTTCCTTTTGCAGAGCTCTAAGAACGTTTCAATTTTCTTTCGCCTATTTTGCGATAGAGGTTGCTTCTTATGTTATCCTTTAAGGCGGAAATTGGCGCACGGCCGGCCATAATTGATACCCTCGCGCATGCCCGATGTTAAACTGGTATGTCGTGTGCCTCACAAGTGACTTACCCAGCTCTCAGATGGGAAACACTTCTTTCTCACTTCACGATAGAGCAGGAGACTGAACTTCATCCAAATGAATGAAAGGCAAAGGTTGATTGGAACTAACCCCAGATATTCCAGGTAAAATAACTCCTTCTGGTACTCTTCCTTAATGAAAAAAAAAGTAATTAAAAAAAGGAATGAATAAATACATAGAATAAAAGAAAAAATATATATATATTAATAAATAACTAAATGTGGGCTTGTCATCATTCATCACCTGGGGGAGAGGGGAGGGGTAGGAGGATTTTGGTTCTTTCATGATAAATTGACCTGATCACCCCTATAAGACTCTGTAATATCCTTATGACCCCCTCTTCCCCCCCACCCAACCCCCCCCACTACCACACTCTGCACAAACACACACACTCATTGGCTGCTATTGACAGTCAACTTTCTATACTCTCCACTTTATACCCTATGCAACCCCCCCCCTCCAACCCTATTATACTTGATGCACCCCCCTCCACCCCTTTATACTCTTGTAGAAATACATGTGGGTAAAACCACTTGGCTGCACCTTGCAGATTCACTTTAGTTTTGAACATTGTTGGCATCATTTCTATGATCAATAAGGCTATAGACTGAGGGAGAATCATGTTTGATTTGTTAAATGTCACCTTGAGAAAAATCAAAACAAAAACAAAAAAGGCCAAGTATCAAAAACATACAATTTCCCTTGAATACTCCCTATCCTTACCTTCAAGTATATTACACACTGAAACTCCATCCCTAGTTTGAAGGCGAATCTAAGAAATTAATTATGCTGGTTTGCTTTCATTGTCCATTAGTTTACATCTATCCCTTTGATGAGATCTCATTAGTAATTCTTGTTATGGTCTGCCATAGAGCTCTTGTGATGTTAGTTTGGAGAATTTCATATTGGATCAACTTATAATCCCCTGAATGATATTTTTCTTTATTCTCATTACTTGTCTGCTTGATATTGTATTGATATTATAAGGAGAAATTCTGTCTTGGTCACTCATAGGAGTTAAAGGGTTAACATCAATACCCATATTCTCCAGACTCTTCACTGTAAATTTCCTCTGGTACTGATGAGGAGAATTCATGTAGTAATCAGAACCTCTTGGGTTGGCGATCTTTTTTTATTCTCATGTTTTTAATGAATAATTCAGAAATATTACTGGAGGGAGAACTTACATGCTGATTACTCTTGGGGCTAAAAGGAATAATTAAGCTGACAGAACCAAATCATTAATTTTTTTCCACATATGTAAGCCATGATGTGTTCCCTACTTACCACTACATGTGTACAAAACATGGTCCAAAATTAACACAAACATCACTTATTTCAAAGCCAAGAGTAGTATTCGACATTAGAGTAATATTTGAATTACCGGTAATTATCAGTAATTGTAGAGTTCCGTGAAATGTATATGTTAATCGAAAAAACAATTCATAGTTTTTATAAATTGGTATTCATAAACAAAGTAATAGCTCACCTGATTGTAACATAAAGAAATCCCAGCAAAGACCCAACCAATCTGTTGTCAGTTGTCAGACAGGCAAAAATTGGATAGAACAGGATTCCGTATACAAGAACAGTGACAATATCCTGAAAAACTAATTAAAACAGAGGAATTTTCTTTTTTTCTGCTTGCTCATGTTGAATATTGGACTGCTGTGCAGGTAAAGGAGATAAGTTTTCAAAGAAACTGTAGGGCTGCGTCAGTGTGAGAGTATAACAGGGTTATTTAGTACTATCAACTGTGTTGATAATGTAAATAGGCTACCATAAAGAGTTTAAAAGCTGACATTGGCATTAGCCCTTTGTCACAACAGTTGGAGGAATTGTGGGTGATGTGTGTATTTTTATGCAGAAAATGGTGCTATGCTATGGTGATGAGAAACAAGAATAAATTAGCTGAATGAAAAGCATTTGTTGATACCATGGAGATTAAAAGTGCTAATTTTAAAGATAAATTTTTGTCGTGAAGTTTTGCAGCCCTATGAACTTCCTAGAAGAAGGGAAAGGGGTTTAGGAGATTAAGTTGTCTAGCAACCAGTTTGGATGTGTCCTTGTCATTTCTTTCTACATTGCAAAGGTGTTCTTGCTCTGCAGGTAGTTGAGGGTTCAAGCCCCAGACTGCAACAACACTCATGTCTTAAAATAACAGGAGAACATGTTGCCTTTGCTATGGTTAGACATTCTAGTCTTCTCGGCTAAGGATCATAAACCGTAGGCCCTGTACTCTCCTACATCTCTCAGTACTGGTTATAAGCATCGGACACTGACCCTTTAACTCCCAGAAATGATTACCAGGTAACTTCTCCCCATAATATCCTTACATTATCCAGCAAACAGGTGATAAGAGTACTCAAACTTATCAGGTAGGGGATGTTTCCTTGATCTGACAGAAAAGTTCTCATAACTGACGAATATGCAAATGTGCAGCAGCTATTGAGGGAGAAATTCATTGATAATCAGATCTTATGAGTTAAAGAGTAACAAATGTGGCTCCCGGTGTGGTCATTTGGCCTTGTTATCATTCATAGAGGCCTGCTTTAAAGCTAAACTGAGCCAGCCTGTCTAGATATTCCAAATAAATAAATAAATAACTTAATGTCAAGTTCATGCCCACATCACAAATGGAGGCTAAGTGCCCAAGGTGCTAGAACACCTGACTGGCCTACCCAACCCACAATCCAGCCACAAACCTCTTGTGCCAAGCCCCCTCTGAGCACCTATTACACTAGAGTGAAATAGCTCAAAGGAGGAAAACATAAATAAATGAATGAACAAATAAAACAAATATTAAATAGAAATAAACCCTGCACAAGAAACCCTGCAGTTAGGGTTGGGGGGGAGGGAAATGTCAAGGACTGCTATTCACAAAGACAACAATGCAATGGTATAGAACAGCAAACACAACACAGGCACGATGGCAGAAGAACGTGTGCACTGATAAGGCATACTGCTGGAGGAGGATGGCCCCTGGGTCCCAACAACCATAGCACTGCTGCAAACTCTGTAGAATACAACAAACATTGCACCAACGCTAACAGCTGGCTAAGACGCAAACCAAACCCCTGAAAACACAACTGACCATGCATGTATATGCTCCTAGTCATTTAAACTACATTGAATTCCATATAACTACATTAAAATTTGTTCATAAACTAATTCTGCCCCACAGCAACTGGGTTATCTTATAACTACTGTAATCACTCAACTGATTTAAACAGTGAGAAAAAATAAATAAACAAACAACCAAAAACAAAAACATTTAATTTATTCTAAATCAGGTTGCCATGGCATGATCACTTACCCTGCACCCATCCAGCTGGGTCAGCCATCTGAAAAATTCCATCTTTTGGACGTAAAAATATATCCAGGCATGTACTAGAGGTGGCTCCAAATATAACAGCAATGGTGAATCTGTTGCTAAAACCACCTAAAAAATCAAATGGTCTGGAAGGAAACCAGACAAACATTGGTAAAACAGTGACACACAAATAGCTCATTTAAAATACACTCCCGTAAACCCATTCAATGGGCGAATGTCTCATATTATTGCACTGTGTCTATATTCAGACTGAAATGGCACAATTTCCTGATAGATTGGGGGGGGGGTGCTTAGGTCAATTTTTGCTGGGTATGTGTGACTGGCCTTTATAGTCTATTCTGTGGTCAGTTACCGGTATACATCCCATCTGCTAAGTGAGTCACTTTAAGGGAAATGTAATTTTTGTGATCCCAACTTTGTCAATTTCTTTTAAACCCCAGTTACTACAAAGTAGGTCATGATCCTAGATTGAAATGACACATTTTTTGCTTAAATTTAGAACACTTTACTTTTTACTTACAGTGCATTAACATTCTGGTACATTTGAATCTTACCTGAACCTTCCCATCTGTAAATCCCTACTTGAATGTGCCAGAATTTTCAAAATCATGAAAATGTGCTAATCCACATTTTAGTTACTCTATTGAAAATGAAACCCCATTATAGCTTAAATCCAACCCCATTGTAGCTTAAATCCAGGCATGAAAATGCAACCCAAACCAGCAGCACATCCCCTTGCTTGTTACTAGCCCCTCCTCCTTAACCCCCCTCTCTCCAAGCACACAAGCACAACAGGTAGCAACTTTTTCAAAAAATTACATGCAGCTGGGTGTCACTTAGAATTAGGTACAACTACTTATAAGTACACAATGATCAGACTATATGTTGTTAACCTTCAATATATGCCTTGAGCTTTTTCCTCTATCAAATCGAACATTTAAATTTTAATCAATTCTGTACTCACATCAGCAAACCATGATAACAATTGCAGTTTTGAGGTTCAAATTTGACTCTTCGCTTGACAAAGGCCAGTATAAAAATGATGAAAAGCTTAAAAATAGAATAATAATAATAATTATCAATTGAAAATAAAATACAGTTTATATGGATGTATAATATAAATAAAACACTTTAATTTATGCCCAACCCAACAAAATTCTTTGCTATGATCTACAGGTAATAACACTTTGCATTAACCCTTTCACTCGCATTCACAATCGCAAAAGACATACCCTCTCCTTGCAATGTTACCAAGCAAGCAGGTAATAAGAAAAATGAGAAAAAAAAAAATATATATATGTATATATATGCCAGTAGAGGTGATAATTAGTTGATCATCAGAAATATGGAAAAGAAATTCTGTCACATTACCTCGCTGTGTATGAAGCTTCATTGGCTGCCCATTTGCATTAGGAATAATTTGAAAATTGTGCTTTTCACAAAGAGGGCTATATGTCATTGTGGTACATAACTGATCTTACCTCTATTAAATATGAAACAAGTTATTATTTGCGATTGACCAATGAAATTCACCTAAATTATCCATTACACAAGTCTTGCTAAACTTAGTGATCACCCCTTTAATGTCACTGCCCTAAAAGTTTGGAACTCACTTCTGATATGTATGTATATATTGAAAAAGCGAGTACTGTTGACAATTTTAATTGTTTGCTTGAGACCCATTATTTTAAATTAGCATGACACAGATATCTTCAAATCTAAAATAGTACTTCATTCTTAACACATCTGTAATTTTTAAGCAGTTTTTTATTGTATCTGCTAATTTTATGCTTAGATTTTTTTTATATTTTTTGTAAAGCACATGCAATCATTACATCATGCATCGTGCTCTGCAAACAATGTAAGTTAATAAATCATTATTAATATAAATAGTTTTAATACCAAATTCTATAGACTCACACCATAAGAATTGGAATGGAGATGGTATGAAAAATTTCTAATGAGGTCTTGGATATGAAAGGGTTCAGAAATCAGAACAGGAATATGTTATTTATAGCTCCTCCCATGCAATCACCTTAGCAAAAAAAAAAAAATAAGTGCAAGCATGAAATTACTGGTGAAGCTTTTTGTAAAACATCATCAACTTTGTAACTTTCTGTTTTATAAACAGATGCATGTAGGCTTACATTACTTAAAATGCCACTAAGTTGAGGTGGGAAAAATTGTAAAGTAATACACTGTAATGATCTGGTTTAATGCCCAAGGCACTTATTTACCTTTGGTACCCCAGGGGAGGGTGTCTATTTGAACCAGGGAGCTTATTGGAACAGGGCTCATTTCTTTTTTGATAAACAGAAGAATTTGAAACAAAGTTTTGATGTTTCTTGGAAAAGGACCAAGAAGACTTGGAAATGTGCAGACTTGACATCCCTGGATCCTTACTGGCTAGAAAGATCAGCCCAGCAATCATCACAAAATTTTGAGACCAGATAATTCTTTTGAATGAATTGTACACTCATGCAGACATAAGAGTTGAGAGGCTGAGATGTTGACCTCTGTTTTCATAATTAGGTATTAGTAAGAAATTGAGGAAGATGAACTTTAACAGTCAATCTCAATGTTCACGTGCTCTAGCAGTTTTATATGGCTGAAACAGAATGGAGAAACTTATTGGAATTGGGGCACTTATTGAAACAGGGAGGCTTATTGGAATAGGGGCTCTTATTGGAATAGGGGCACTTGTTGGAGTAGGGGCACTTACTGGAATAGGGGCACTTATTGGAATAGGGGTCTTATTGAAATAGGGGTGTTTATTGGAATAGGGGTCCTTATTGAAATAGGGACACTTATTGGAATGGGGGTGCCTACTGGAATAGAAGCACTTACTGGAACGATAATGCTTATTCAATAGGGGCACTTATTAGAAATAGGGGAGCTTCCAGGGGGAGTGTTTATTTGAAGGGGGTGCTAATTGGAGGGAGGGTGCTAAATTAATTCATTACCGTATGTAAGCATTTGTTGTCATTATTTGATGAAAGTTACTTCAGTATTTCACTTACAGCTGGAACAAGGCAGCCAAGATCAAACCAAATCTCGTTGATAACTGTGGGGCACCTAAATTGAAATTTTGTGAGATTGAAAATCCGTCAACATGTCTCAAAAAAACAAAATTATAAAGACATGATTAAATTTAAATAAATTTGTTTCATTTTTAAGATTCAATAAGAAGAGACAGGTGTTGCAGAACATTAAAATTTCATGAAGGAATGGAAAATCAAAAAGTTAATACACGATAATGCAGACTAAGGCAGGAATAAGCTGCCTAGCACAGACAATCCCCATTCCCTCACTTTCAGTCCCAAATACAAGTGTAAAGTGAGAAAGACAAGAGCACTTTATATCCCGAAAAATTAAAAAAAAAATAAAAATAAGAAAAATAAAAAATTCCATACACAATTTCACAAGAAATAACTGAGTCCTACTGTAATTTAAGACGCAGAACAGAACGAAAAGGAAGGTCTGTAAAACCATACACACACAAAAAAATGCGATCAAAACCAAAAACCGCATGCAAAACCGTCAAAGCTGATAAATGTTCACATTCCAGTTCTCAAAACCCTAAACGATCCGACACAGGTTTCGCGGCTATTCGAGATCAATGGAAGCGCATGATGGCCGCTTGAGTCGAAGAGAAACCGGAATCCAAATAGGAAAATCCAAACACCACATCGGAGATCAAATGCTAAAAAACGGAAAATCCGCAAGCCACAATGAACAACCAATCCAAAAAATCAAAATTGTTTGGCACCAAAACCGATCTAAAAAAAAAAACCGAAAATCCCAATGCCCCCATCAAGGATGAATCGGTCAGTTAAGTCCACTTGCGTGGATTGCATACGCATTCCAACAAATGATAACACAGCAACCAATATTATTAGTGAAACCTCAACGAAAACTTTTTTTTCTCCATCAGAACATGCTGCAAAACAACTTTAGTCACACGATATTTTGTACGGAAGGTGTCATGTCATGCAATCGAATTATTCATCGATTACGAACATCGATGCTTGACACCTTGTAAATTGCACAGCTGCAGCCTCACGGAATTTTTTTTTAATTATAGATTTGCATTTTATGGCTAAATGGCGCCGTTCTTTCTTTAAATATAGAAGAGGATTTTGATCTCTTCGCGAACGTGGTAAAGCTTCAGCAAAGAACACCACGGAGATGTTCATATTTTCAGTCATGACGAGCTTTGCTCAACGCAAAACTGGAGAACAAGCGCTCCAATATACAATGTTCACAAGAGGTCACGCACGTTTCCTTGAAAACAATACTTTCTACGGATAAAAGCTTGTACTGGTATTTCCGTTTCTACAAAGCTAGTAAGGTTTTAATGTAGAAGTGTGGGTTTGGTGCAATTTTTAAGTTGTGATAGGCTTTTTTACGGCGAAATAGTGAATACACTAGTAGCGCCGACTCGTTCGATGACTATAAATATATGATCATAACAAAAAGCACTTGTGCCAATTTTTGTAATATCATTGTGGGATTACTGAAATATGTAAAGGTACTTTTATCAAATAACATGATTTTACCAGTTTATTAGATAGTAGATCAATGAATAAAGACAGAATATGGAAAATAATTCAAGAGTGAGTTTGTCATTTAAATGAATACACAACAGCTAACAAACATGGCGACTACACATGGTCTGCACTTTCAAATTCATCTTTCTTCCTTCTGGTCCGCGATATCAGGACTTCTCAAGGCTCTAAAGGAAAACTCTAAATCATAAACGATAATTGCATGGGATTCAAAGGCATTTCATGGTCGATTAGCGGAGATATTTTTCGAGTGATTGCGTGCACAAACGTTTGTTTCGTGCATTGTTCATATCTCTCTAAATGCCGATATTGCAGACGAGCCTTTGACTTCTTAAAAGAAATCAGCCTACCATTGTTGTGTTCCACTATGCAATGGGAATTCGCGCTATCACCACGAATTGAAATACTAAGTTGAGAGAGGAATGGCTCCTAAAGATTAGAGGAGATGAAGGTTCAGACTTCAAGTTATTTCAAGAGCTTTGTCTGACGAGAAGCAAAGTAGAAACTTTCAAAATCTTAAGACTTTTCGGAGTTAAAAAAAACCCTGGTAAGTGGGGTCAAGACACTTCAAAGATGAAGACTACCTTCTACCCAACACATCTGGTCGACAACTGCTCAAAGGGGGAGTTGTTCCTTTCAAGTTTGATTGGTCATCCAACTTCAAAGCACGAAGAAAGATAATTCGACATGTCGAGAGGTATTGATGATCTATTGTGAGTATTCCAGTAATACCATTATAGTAAAATTGATTTACAATTAAAATTTAGCGCATCAATCATTATTCTACACATGGTGATCTGGAAGTATTTTAATAACGTTACTCTTCTCTTCACAGAGATACCCAAACAGATGAGAGTGATGATGAACATGAAAGTCAATCAGACGTTAGCCCAACCATATACAGCATGCACTCAGAAATTCAGTCCATCAAGGCACAGCCACTGGCTATGCAGAAACAGCTACTGAAAAGAAGAGATGAAACTAAAGCAGCTCAAGAGGAAGTAAAAGTGGTAAAAACCCAAGCTGCAATAGACATTGAGGAAATAAAAAGGCAAGCAGCTGAACAATTGGCACTCAATAAATTTGGGCCAGAGAGATTTGGCACAAATAATGATTCAATAAAATTTTACACCAGCTTCCCATCATATGCACATATTCAGCTCTCTTTTCAGTTTGTTCAGCCAAGTGCTGAAATGATGACTCACTGTTATGCTTCTGGAGTAAGAGAGAGCAAACCAGCTTGTAGGAATATGTTACTTGTAAATGAATTGTCTATTTTTCTTGTACGCCTCAAACTAGGATTATTTGAACAGGACTTAGCTTATAGATTTATGATACATAGGTCTTCAGTTTGTAGGAAATTAATCACCTGGAGTAATTTTATTTATTTTTTGCTTGGATGTCATATGATCTGGCCTTCAAGAGATGATGTCAATAGGCATATGCCAGAAGGTTTCAAGAAGCTATACCCAAGCACACGTTTGATCTTGACTTGTACTCAAATATTTGTTCAGACACTTACCTCTTTACTCCTGCAATTGCAGCACTACTCAACTTATAGGAGTAATACAACCCTTAAAGGGTTGATTGGAATCGCTCCCAATGGAGCCATTTTTATGTAGTGGCTCGCCGGCTCACTGCCTCGGCAATCATTCTTAAAAGAACGAGAAAATAAATGCTTTATGAAATTACAAGAACTTTTGTTGTGACTCGGCGGTTCGGCGACTCGGCAGTCTGACTTTTTTGACTACCGAGCTACCGAGCCACTGGCTCAGAATATAACTTCAGATTGGGCCCAGCATTCTATAGTCAAGCCAAATATCGTTTTCAAGCATATGCACGTGACCTCTTATGAACTTTGTGTATTGGAACGCTTGCCCTCCAGTTTTGCGTTGTTGCCCGGTATCCAAGCACGTGACCTCTAAGCAAGTGAAAGCGAGGTGTTTGGTTTCGAACGTTAAATTAAGGTAATTAAAGTTGATTAATTTAGGACTCTTTCGCGCAATTTTCTCTTTGGGAATAATTACGCAATCATAGCAGGGATGACAATTTTCACAATTGCAGAATGATTCAGCGACAGGAACGACTTAGCTAAACCTAAACATGTCATGACATTAGAGGATAGCCTGTTTAAACTGTGTGATGTGACAATCAAGTAACAGTTGTTGTAGCCGTCACATTATGTCCGTGATCTACAGATTCATTGATTTCTGACACAAAGAGCGATTATCTGTTCTGACACGACAATGCCAAACTTAAATTGTAACAGCTAGCCAATATTCTACTCTGATCAGACCTTTGGCTCAAGAGTTAGCAAGGAGGCGGTGAACCGCTCGGCAACGACCTTGTTTTCGAGAGAGATTTCGAGTGCGTTATGTTCTGGAGATTCAGGAGTATCATTATCGCTTGAAACGATTGGGTAGATTTTTCTATAATACATTTCGAGCGGCTATACTAAGGAGCTCTTTAAGTATGAAATATAATTTCTAGTAAGTAAGTCCCAAACATCAGGTAAGCGCGGGAACTACTCTTGACCAATTCGACGATAAGGTAAAGTTGTATGCCTGATTACTTCTGTCTAGAGCTATATGATGACGCGCGATAAATCTCACTGCTTAATAACGTGAGCCGAAAATGATGATGCCTACACCGTTTTATCAGCAAAGCAGGGTTTACCTTTGCTTCTGTGCCTTCAAAACCAGAAAAGGACTGATTCCTCTGATGGTTAGATGGTAAATGCTTAAAATCACCAGAACCTTTCCTTTTTTTCACTTGGTTCTGTCTCTCTTAGGTAGTCAGTCCTATTTGGGCTGTTGCCATCTGAAGACAAAACCTTTCCGTTTTTTTTTTCACCTGGTTCTGTCTCTCTTGGGTAGTCAGTCCTATCTGGGCTGTTGTTATCTGAAGGCAGAACCTTTTTTATTTTTTGTTTTTTCATTTATATATTTTTTCATCTGGTTCTGTCTCTCTTGGAGAGTTGGTTCATTTTAGACTGTGCGTTTTATCTTAAAACAGACTAATTTTGAGAATGAATCTCAACAGGGTTAAATTTAGCTGTCCTGATTGTACATATCTTTTCCTTTGCAGATTTGATTTGATGTGAACCATAAAAAATCGTGACGAAAAAGCCGACCAATTCGAACTGAATCAACACCGTATGGTGAGTGCAAGGTCCGTTGACTAACTTTCTGATAATTTTTCCGTCGATGTTGTTTTCGTTTTGATGGTTTCTTCCCTCAGCTCCCGTGAATGTTTCATTTACAATCAATAATGAATTTCGGAATAAAATTACCAACGAGTAAAATACCTCTTCTCGTAGCGCATTCCATTGCGTTTACATTTCCAACTCCACTGTCATTTGTCATAACTTCCCTTGCTTAAAAATCAACTTGAGATACGAGATGTAATATCGATCATAAATAGTGAAAGAGGTTTGTGAGTAAAGAGTAAAGTAAAGTCTGTGTTTATTTTCTCGCTGCCTAATACATGTAGATAGCAGTGTTCGCAGCGGCGCGCCAGGAAATCCCGGCAAGAAAAAACTTCTTAGATTTTACTCCTTTTAATGATATACTATAAAGTAAACTTCTTCCTTAGCATTTAGCCAGTTGTGTGCTGACGGCGATGTGTGCAAAAATATCCTATATATATTTCTTTACAGGGCAATATTATCAAGAAAAAAAACAACAAAACGAAAAAAAAACTCGAGTTCTGGTGCGCTGTGTGATCCATGAGTGTTCTCATCGCGGTTAGAACTTGCTGTTGTTTGTGGTGTTATCTTCCGGAGTGGACTTACTGTTAATATATTTTTGTTAGCGTTCAAAAATCGAGAAAGTACATGTTTTTTTTAAAAACTTTATCCTTTACAACTCTTAACCACTACTGAGTTATGTGTATCAATAGAATGGGTCAGCAAATTTGAGACGGGCTAGAGAAAAAGGTTGACTCTACGCGAGTGAGGCCGACGCTTCAGGTCGGCGTCAATCCTTAATTTTTCTTTCTGTACAGTCATTTTATACTACTTGAAATTTTTTTTGAATAACAGCGTATAAACTTCAACAAACTTTTCGCAAATTTCATGCTGCGAATTTGAATGTTTTCCAATAAACAATCGATATACCTCGAAGGGATGACAGCGCAACGAAACAAATCAGAGGAAACCAAATCGCAGAACGAACTTGCGCGAATCTAGAGCACATTCATTCATGAAAATATCGACATCAACAACAGAGTACGTACCCCTGAGAAGTGTTCTCCGCGGATCTATTTGCCATTTTCAAAGCAATCTATCGGGGCAACTGCACGTGGTTCAACCTCCCTCGTGACTTGGAATTAGATATGGTTATCTTATCTACCGTGGCCCATATCTGCAAACGTTATAAACAATGTCTGAAATGCAACAAACACTTTCCAAACACAACACAGTATTATCTGCATCCAACACTGTATTATCGAAGTACAACACAATGCCATCGAAACACAATACGGTATTATCGAAACACAACACAATGTATGGAAACACAACTCAGTATTTGCAAAACGCAACGCAAATCTTCCAAAACACAACTCTACATTTGCGAAACACAACACAAAATTTTCCGATACGAAATGCAGGATGTTAATACTATACAAATCATAAACCCACCATTGCTCAACCGCTGACATGCTTTACATTTTCCCGCCATCTTAGTTCGCCATTTTGCTTGGAAAAAATGTTTTGTGCTGGCTGTGGAGCCGGTTTGAAATCTTTTTCAAAATTTTGCCCTTTTTGTAGACAAAAAGCAGAAAGCGACTCTAGTGTAAGTGAAGGTGCAGCAAAATACTCGAGCTTCAAAAACTATGCTGCACAGGAAAGCGAAGTGAGGTCGACTCATTTTCGATCAAGTGGCTCCAAGAAAAGAGGGCAGAAGAAGAAAGAAGCGGATCCCTTCGTGCTAATCAATATAGGCCTGATGTAATTTATTGGCCCAGATGTGACAACTCCGATCCGTGGCAAGACATTCTCTACACCTGACCATCAACTCCCATTTCAGCAAAGGTAAGCATCAGGCTAATCAAGAAACTGACTTGCCTTATTCTACTGTTTACCTGTAGTTTTAGAATAATTGATCATCTTTCGTTTAAAAGTGAACTGGATGTTAAACATCCACCACATTTCAATTTGTAATAACACTCTCTGTCTTTGAGTTCTTTTGTAGTGCATTTCCAAAAACATAAACCTACCCTGCAACATCTGATGTTGATGTTCGTTTCAGTAGTAATACAGATCATCTTACCACTCAACAAAGGTAAACATTGCGCTGAACAAGGAAACATTAACCTGGCTCTCACCAAAGTTAAACCTTTAGGCAAAATTTGGTAGTGCTGGAAACTGTCATTTCACTTCAGTTTTAGCCATGGTATACAGCTAGTTAATGTGATGTTTGAAACTGAATTAGCAGTAAAACATACACCACAAGATGGTACAAGAATTCACATAGCCTGTTATCTTTTAACAGTACAGGTAATGCCTCTCTGTTAGTGTTCCTCATATATATGCACATTCTGTAACATGTGATGACGGTACCCGTTCCACCAGTGATGCAGATCTGCTTTATGGCTCCTTAATCCCTGGCACTTTGCTATACAGTAGTGATTCTGAAGGAGAAAATGTCCCTGCGGCAGTAGATGATCCTCAAGTGTTTCAAACAGAGACGAGCTGGTCATTACAAAACATACTAGCAATGAGTAACGTGGTGAAAAATCCAAGTTCCCAAAAGCAAATGCATATTCCTGCCAGTTGCCATTACCAATGGTGCATGACACATATGACGACTTCGAAAAAGATGTCATCTTTGCATTTAAAAATACCAGGGGATGTGCATATGCATAATGTTTTAAAACTCTTCCCCCAGTCTTTTGAAATTAACTGAGGTCTTAATACTGTTCTTGTTCATGTTTAACTGAAAGGGTAAATGCAAAGGAATAAGAATGTCACCTTTGCATTATGTTATAAATACTAGGGGATAATAAATGATGTTTTAAAACACTTTCCTTAGTCTTTTGAAAACTAAGGTTGCGATATCGTTCTTGTAACGCCTCCTCAGTCGTACTGCGTGGCGCATCCCGTAATGCCTTAGTTTTTGTATATGGGACTTTTTGTGAGAACTCCCCGTGGTTAAAATAGCGTTCGACTACGCTAGTGTTTCTGTAGCCTCACCCGAAGCCTTTCCTTTGGCTTAGTGTTTGTAGCTTCAAACGAAGCCTTTATTTTCGCTGTGGCTCATCACAGTCTCTGATAGCGGTTACTGGAGCCGTCTGCAGACATTTTAAGATTGTAATTCCCGGTACACCGTGGATGCATTAAACAGTTTCAGTTGGATTGTCAGACTGATAAACTGTAGTTCTATGTTCTTGCGCTTCCTTTCACACCAAAAGACGGTCGCTACAGTTCTTGTTCATGTTTAGTTGAAGTAGTAGGATATGAATAAAGTTTCACTTTACCATATTGTATCTCATTTCTAAATGTTAAAGAGTAGAACATCTTTTAAAAAAGACAAATGCCCCATCAAAGTAATCACAAGTTGTGCTTTTGTGCACAACCAATTTTGCAATCTTGTTTGTACTTAAGTTTCATCCAAAAAATTAGTGGAAGTCATTTCAATCTGCTGCTTTATCATATTACCACGGGATTGTACTAAAATGTCCTAGAATGACCTATTGTGATACTTGCAATGTTTGTTTCAACTAAGTCTTTAAAAAAAGTAAGCCACCCCGTTGATCTGTCATGCCGATAAAATGATCACCATCCTGATATGCGCTGGTTTTCTGGGGACGGTCCGTACCTATGTGCATTTAATCCAGCTTAGTCGTCGTTACCATTTCCTCGAAAAATAACACTGCATGGCCACCATGGTCACATTTTCAGTTCCACAGTCTGTTCGAAGAACTCTTGGGCAACCACTGTTTGGTTTAACACAATCGTAAAACAATGAAGCTACGTGGCTTGGGTCATTATTCGGGGGCAAATTTTCAACCACATGACTCGACGACTGAAACCGTCCACCGCTCCAGGAATAGGAAAACCTTATGGCCTTAACTTATCATAGCCGTCAATGTCCCAAGCAAAATTCGGGCTTGGGTCAGTGTACGACCTTCTCCTTAGTGCAAGAGCCTTTCGTAAGGCTGTTCCTTCGGGTCAACTTGTTGTAAAATCCCTTCCACCTTTCTTCTTGGTGCCTGTATTCCGTAATCCAAACGAAGGGTGTGCTACATAGCTCAATAATCCCTCATGCAGCCTGGCCCGTCCAATTCTTGTTGATGACCTGGTAAATTTCGGCATCGTCACTGTTTGTATTCCTTCTTCTTAATCCGTACTCACAAGATATGTGAGTTTTAAAGGGTGGGTGTTAGGAAAAGCAAGGATCCTCCTTTAATTAGGACTGAAATAATGGGGGCTCTCCTATTTTAATTCATGTTTTAACTTTCACCTGCCTCCTCCCCTTTAAATTAAGAGAACATTTTTGTATTTTGACGCATGAAAGTTGAATTAACTGGTGTCCTTGTAATGCACAAGGCAAGAAAATAAATGCCTCAGCTTTAAAGGTTAAAAAAATTAGGATAGTAGGGTTGTGCAGACCATATCCTGCTTTTTATCCTCCTCTGGATATTTACTCAAATAACATAGTTGCTATCAGACTCATTTACCCTCGCTGTCCACCGAGCTTGAGGAAAATGATGATAACCTCTGTATTTCTGTAAATGAAAAGAGGAAAGCCTGCCCTCCACAGATTGTTCTTTTGGGCATGAGCAAATTGCTATTTTTAAAGCACTCTTAAGTTCAAAATTAATGGCCGACCCTGGGCTATCAGTTCTCAATCATTATTTTCTTGTAAAACAATGATTTTTCCCATTATCAGTACAAACCTGGTCATGATGATAGTTTCCAGGTTTAAAAAAAGTCGCTTTGCCAGCTACCATCTTCAGCTCCTTTGTTTTGACAGCCCAACCTCATCAAAACATTAGAAACAGGAGTAATCAGCAAATTAATGATACAAACAAGTGAGTCTTTTCCCACATACACCCTCCTCAATCCTGTTCGCTTATTCTGGACGTGCCATTTCAAACATGGTGTATATTCCACAAATTTTCCATTTCCCCGACTAATTATTTCGTAATGTTGTCTGCAAGTTGTGGAAAATGGTTGGGTTGAAATATAATATAAAGACTTGCCAGTGGATAGTCAAATGAAACCTTTTTACATATCAATAAAATTTATTGTTACGTTTCATGTTAAAATGTTGCAACGACTCCACCTTCCAATAAATTCAATTATTTGCAAACACGAGAGAAACCATTTGAAACTTTTCAACCTCTTCGATATAGCCAATAACAACATCAACTCAACTTCAAACTAAAGAGAAAACTTGATTGATGTTTGGAATTAATTTCTGTGATGTACAAATGAAATCCAGGCATTACCTCAAGTTTTTTACCAATGCCTTCGTCATCAGGTTTTAATTATGATATTCTAGTTCCAGCTTGTCTTTCTTTAATCACACTTTCGCAGCGCAGAAAACATGTTAGACAAATTTCGTATTTCAGGAGCTAAAGTTGCTAAGATCATGGACAGTTGGCTGAAAGACGCTTACATTATATGCAGTTACGGCAAAGGTAACAGAAAAAACCTCAAAAAGACGCCGAGTATGCCCAGCCAGAGGACAATCGCGAAACAAGAATAGCCAAAAGAGAAAATGTAAAAAATAACAGGTTTAAACACGAGTTGAAAATGACTTTTCTGTTTAATTTTGAAATTTTAAGGTTGAAACGCTAGGGAAAGACAGTGAAGCAAGCAGTCATACCTGGCAACTTCAAGAGAAGATATAAGAGAAGCCCATACGATTCTGGAGTATTGGTTCACTGCCTCAGTGTTCTCACGTGTATAGTCTTCAATCGACCGGTGATGTCCGTCGTTTCTTTCAATTTTGGCTCATTTTCCCAAACCAAAATTATCAATAGAATGTAATTTCAGTTGATGCTGACATCAAACACTACATCTGAAGAAGAAGACATTCCTCTTTGTTGAAGAAACTTCTGAAACCTCAAGTATAATTAAAGCGGAATCCTTTTGAGTTTAAAATATCAAGCTAGCGGTGCTTCGATTTGATTATTGAGGTCATTATTGGAGGAGAAACGAGAAAGCAAACAATCTCGATACAGATTTCAAACCGACTCCACTCCCTTGGAATTACACTAGAGGACCCTGAATGCACTTTGGCTGATAGCCCTGTCTCTATAGACGTT